ACACCCAGCCCGGGGGGGAAATCGGCGCGAAGGGCCCAGTCGTACCCTATGTTCCACAAGAGGGGTCCAAGAACAGACCCCTGTGGAACACCGCACGACATGGGCCGACACCTCAGATTACCTTCTCGGTCCTCGTACACGACGGTACGCTCCTCTAAATAGTCTGCCACCAGCCGCCTCAGGTACTTTGGCACCCCATGATAGTGGAGTGCTTCCCTGATGCAGCTGAATGGCAGACTATTGAATGCGTTGGCGATGTCCAATGACACCGCCAACAGCACGCCGCCACAGCTCACGGCCTCTTCGGTCACGGCCCTCAGGCGCAACACGGCGTCGACCGTCGAACGCCCCGCCCGAAAACCAAATTGGGCGTCCGACAGATCGGGGCCCACCTCGCAGAGGTGCCGGACGATGCGGGCAGAAAGAACCCTCTCAAACAATTTGCCCGCCTCGTCCAGCAGCACGATGGGCCTATAGGCCGCGACCGAATCGGCAGGCCGTCCCGGCTTCCTCAATAGGACCAGCTTCCCGCTCTTCCAGCACTCAGGGAAGCGTCCCGACGCCAAGCTAGCGTCGAACACCTCCCCGAGGCGGTCTGCCATGTGGTTGAGGGCCAGGGCCAGCACTCGGGCCGGTACCCCGTCTGGCCCAGGGGCGGTGTTCTTGGAACGGATCCGTAGAACAGCCGCCCCTACCTCCGATTCCCGGACGGGCGGAACATTATCCTCCCCGTGCTCCCCGTCGTCTCCGGCCAAGGAGGCCATCGACGGGGGAGTGTGTTCCGCCCGTTGTGGGAAAAGGCCCTCAACCACTTCTCGCAGGAAGCTGGGCTGAAGAGTCTCCGTAAGGGGGGGGCCCGACGCGCGGAGCTTTTGTCGCACCGCGCGGTAAGGGCGACCCCAGGGGTCACGATTAAGACCCTCCAGCATCTCCTGTCTTTTTTCTTCTTTGGCGCGGCTAATGGCCAGCTTCAGAGTTTTCCGCGCCCGTCGGTACTCCTCATGAAGCCGGTCCTCCTCACCGTCTCCACGGTGACGCCGCCGACTGCGCGTGTAGGACCTCCGGGCACGTGTACAGGCCGCACGGAGGTCCGCCAGCTCCTGGGACCACCAGTAGACCTCCTTCCTTGGAGGCCGACGACCTCGAACGCGGGGCATGGCCGCATCGCATACATGCGTAATCGCATCGCGAAAGCGGCCAGCCCCCACGTCGACCTCCTCGGTCGGAGCCTGCGGAGACAGCCACGAGTGAATTATGGCTGCCTCCTCTAGTAGGTCCCGGTTCAGCCTGGCAACAGTCCACCGCGGAAAGCGGGATAAAGGCCGCGCCACGTGACCCCTACTGGAGTCCTGGGTCCGGGAGAGCTCAAATCGGATATACAGGTGATCCGAGAGCGTCTCAACCTCTTCCAGGACACACCAGTTCCTTACTCGTGCGGCGAGGGCAGGGGTAGGTAGGGGGGCACATTTCAGCACTACCCTAAGGTAGACAGAGAGAAAATTCCTGTGGCATTCAGTCCGCCATTGTACAACTCATACTTGTGCACAAATAATTAGAATGAAAATAAAAATCGTCGGTGGTGTTGGCCTAGCGTGAATTTTGTCGTAGATTTTCCGGTCATCCGACACCAACTGGGCAAACACTAGAGCGTTTAATTGCTTACCTAGAAGAGTATGGGACCTTTACACCCGCTCAAAGTTACTGTATGGTGTGGTGTTGACTACTGTGAACAGCTAATGAGCCATGCTTAACGAATTTCTCCTACCCCAACTGACCTCAACGAGTTATGACTGCAGAACATATGGTTCCAACAGGATGGAGCAACGGTACGTACTGCACGACCCACGACCGAAATTCTGAGGGCTGAATTTCTGGGTAGCCTAATCTCTTGTTTTGATGATTTGTACTGGCCAGCAAGATCGCCAGATTTAACCGTTTTAGGCTTCCTTTTGTTGGGTTTCTTGAAGTCACGAGTCTATGTCAACAATTCTTAGACTTTTGAAGCCCTCAAAGAGAACATTCGTCAGGAATGCAGGTACCGATCGCTGGAAGTTTTGGCAAGAGTGACGGAAAATGACATAAATCGGGCTCGTATTGTCATTAATTCTAGCAACTGCCACTTGGTTGATACCATTTTCTCTATTTAATGATTAAAAAATTTAAACTAAATAAAAATAATTCAAAAGCAAAAGACAAACTAAAACTCACCCTCGACTTTTCAAGTATGTGTAATATAATAATATATTATATTTAAATATATATTTATTTAAATATCAAACTTACAAATCAACTTATGCTTACCTTCTTTTTTTAATAGTTATAAAAAGAATAGCGATGGTTTAAATATAGTATTTCTCTTTCGGCTCCAATTATTTTTAGTACCATATTTTAATAAGTTCTTTTTTCAAGAATTAACATAACATAACCAACAATTTTGTTAACCTTTCAATTCCTAACATAACTTTTTGCCTTTGCTTTTATAAAATCATTTATTTTATCTCGGAACCCGTAAAACAAAGCACATTGTAATTTATTCCGGTACAGCGAAAACAAAGTCGTGGTCATCAGTTCTAAATATTTTTTCCTTTTTTTATATAGTATTAACAGCTTTAACCACAAACCTGTTCGGGTTCGTCATTTACTCTGCATTACCCTTTAATAAAACAAAGCCCATTATTTACTTAGGACAAAACATTTTAATACATACTTTTATATAGATTGGGTACGAAATTCTTCTTGCCGGGGTTTTCATGTTTACTTGGACCCTCATTCAAGGATATTTGTGAAGTGGGGATAAAAGAAATCTTTTTTGTAATATTATCTTTCATGTTCGTAAAGTCTTGGTTTGCGTAACTGCTGATAAACATCGTTTATAACATAAAAACAACTGTTTAATATTCCTTTTCTACTTTTATTTTAAAAGTGTATGCTTCAGTTACCAGTAACGTCACGTCAGTTTATTTTTGAAACTATTTTATTCTTGAATACAAATCTACTTTATCTAATTAGGAAGTTTAGGAATACCTTCCTGTAACACTCAGTATATGAATTTTATTTATTGTATAATATTTGTTTTATATATATGTATATCTTTTACATGGTCCAATTATGTAACTTTACTGTACAGCATAGCTGATAGTGGCCACTACTGTTGCCAAACATTGACAACAGTTTTTAAGTACATATTCGTAGAAATACTAATTGTCATATATAGGGTTAAAGAAACTAAAACTAGTAAGCCAAATTAGTAAAACACAGTTATTACTACAACGAAGAAGAAAATGCTATAATCAAATGTTACTTATGATTTTAAAATGCTGTTCTCTTATAGCACGAGACACTGATTATTTTTAGTAAATTATTTTTAGTATTTAAACATTTTTTTAGGAAAACCGAAAAATGCGCCTTAGAAGAGAAACAGATTCAAAAGTAAAAATATTCATACTACCTCCTGCCTTCATCATATCTATTATACCAATCTCAAACTAAATAAAATGATCCTAAACTCTGCCCCCTTTATTAACACGCTTTTATTAGCTCGGTGTGTACGAGTATGTATCCATGTAACAGAATCTTCGATCGTGATTTTGACCCACTTCAAAATGTTGACTTAACTTCGCACAAATATCAAGGACCGATACAATAATCTAATAAACCATATGGGAAAAAATAAACCAATGGGAACCATAGACCTGAGGTCTATGGCTCCCATTAGGTCTATCTGAAGTCTATCTGATATAAATTTCAACTTGCTAGGTCTACCCGTTCCTGAGAAAATCGGTGGTGACAGACGGACAAGAAAGTGATCTTATAAGGGTTCCTTTTTTACCCTTTGAGGAAAAGGAACCCTAAAAACGTTCAATTTCGGCGTCAATCCTAAAAAGCGTGGGGTGTTTTTCAATTTGATTTGATTGATTAACGACGAAAATTATTTTCTACTTTTTTATTTTATTTTATACATTACACCCAATAAGGAGTTTGCCCTCCACCTCCTGCTATTGTCACCCCCACTTCATATACATACAAAGTTTGTTAAAGTTGTTAAATGACAAAATAATTGGCATAAAATCTGCATCCAAGATTTGTTTAGATTGTAGGCACTAAAATACAAGAAAAGCTAATAAAAACGTCTTAAAAAAGTTTTAAAAACAAAATTTATTTTGTAGTATCTCCTAATATTTTCTTGAACAAGTTACGCTTAAGTAAACTAGATCGTGAAGACAACGGTCTTTAATTATCTCCTATTGATACGCAAATATAATTAAAACTTCAAAACGAAACAAGTAAAATATGTAAAATGTTATCTGATTTTCATTTACCTAAGGTTCTTAATCAGGTTGTATTTTGTTTCCTAAAAACTCCGTTCTAGTATTTCCTTACATGAATACATATGCATATATTTAAATAAACAAACTACTCTTAAGTAAACTAATATCTCATTCCTTACACTGATAAGGGTTTACAAACATTCTAAGACATGCTTAAGGGTGACCGTTGAGTCGGTATTATCTTGTAGACAAACAAATTCCTTTCAAACTAGGAAAAGATTTAATTAAATTTGGTATTTAATATTTAGAAACGATCGGAAAAAAATACGATTATACAACGTTTCGCTGTTACATCAATAATAGGAGTGATGTCTATGAGAAACAAAAGACTTCTTATATATTTACTATTCAAATCTAGAGATCACGAAACATGACGGAAAAATAAAATTCACCCCTATTTCTTGTTATTAAAGTTATAAATGATTTTCTTATATTGGTTACATACTTATTACTGATCTACATTTAAACATTAATGATAAAATATTGTTAAAATAAAAACTCGATAAAGTATAGATAAAATAATTTATTCAAGAAATGGAGTGCTTATAAATATAAACCATGTTCAACTTTTTTATATCTCTATGCAGTTATGCTATAAATATTTATTTGATATTTTAACAACGAATTTCTTTGTCGTCGCTTTTATATTTAATACCTGGCATAAATTACTATTTAGCCAACTAATGAAGCGGGACTGGAGCTTGGCGATGTCAGAACTTCAAACTGAAAAATTGAAATAAAAAAAAACATTTTGTACTCGTATTTTACAAAACATAAAACAAGGCATATTTTTCGGTAATTAAATTTTAAATATTTATATAATATGTAAGCAAGGGTGAGATCATGTGGTTATTAAAACCGTATACAGTTTTATACATTTACCAGAAAAACTTTTTTGATCAATTTTCAAAAAGACATCAATTCAGCTGTTCGATCAATGTTGTTAAATACATTTTAAGGAAAATTGATTGAAAGTTTTGGATATGAAAAAAGATGTTATAAGAATAATTATAAATTATCATTTTTATAACTTTCAGATCTACATTTTCATCTAAGTTTTTGATATCTACAGAAAGAAGTAGAGTGGCACTGGTTGCTTTCTCGTCAATTAACTTTGGCGGGTTGAAGTTATAACTAAAAAGTATTACCGCTTTAAACAATCTGTTAAGCTGATCTCCAAAGACATTAAAAATAGGCTGCAATTTATTCTCCACGTTGACATCTCTAAGGGCTTGGGCGAAACTTGTGTCAATACAGTTCTTTAACGAATCCATATTCTTTTTGAAGGCCTCTATAGGATCTGGTGGAGGTGATGAGACATCTCGTTTGACGAAAGCATCGGTCTGTTAGAAAATATGAAAAATTATTAATATTTAGAGTGATGTGTTGTGGGTTACAAATTTAGTCATTTGCTAGCTCTCTTCTTGCTAATGACAGCATTAGCAAGAATTTTTCGACAGCAGCTAACAGTAGCTGCTGTCGAAACATAAAGGACAATGGCGAATTCTTATTTGACTATAATTGGAGCGTCTTAAAATGTAATTCATAAGAAACATAGGAAAATCCTTCTAGTAGATGTGTACGTTTTTTGAAACTATCGTTTAGTCAGTAAGACCCAAAAAAAAAGAAAGAAAAATATTAAAAGCTTATTTGGTTATTTCAATTTCTTTTATCTTTACTTTAGTGTTGCCATTTTACAAGCATTTTTTCAAGTAGTGGAAATACTGTGCAATAAAGTGTCGTAATATGGTAAGCACTTCTTATAGTTTTATAATTGTAAGTACTGAATCAATAAAGAATTGTAGTTTGCGGTACATATTTGAATGAATTATTTACAAATTTAAAAATCTTGGAGTCGAGTGGAATATAAGAAATAAAAAAAAAAAAGTGGCAACTGCAAGCTAAAAAAATGAAGAGGTTTTTTGACAACGACAACTCTAAACAGGCGTTTGCGCTCTGTGTGTGACAACTAGTGTACCTTTTATAATGAGGCTTTATTATCTTCTATTTTATTTATATGGCACACATACAGTAATGATTTTATGATTAATTATGTAAAACTATACAGAAACTAATTTGAAGAGTTGATGGTCACAGATAAATTTATAAAATTAAGAAAACATATGCTATGTTAGGAAAAGAGTAAACAGATAAAAAATAATGTATCCTAAAAATCATATGCTAATAGATTGTTTCTAGTCTTTCCCAAATAAAAAGTGTTTTACAGGTAGATAGAGATAAAAAGCCTATTTGTTTACAATTTTTACACGCTTTATATTAACTTCACTTGTATGTTTGTAAAATAACAACTATATATAAAAAATCAAAAAAATAAAAAACACGCTTTTTATAGAAATCCGAACTAAAAAATTGAAAATAAATTTGAAAAAAAAGCGTGGGGTGCTTTTTACTATAGACAACAGGCACCCAACGCTTTTAAAACTATTTTTTTTTTACTACAAGACACTGCAATTTGATTCCAAATAATTTTTGTAAGGAGACCTGCCATTGTTTTTTCTATAAAAAGATTTCTGAGTTGGTCATCTGGTATGGAACTCGTGGATTATTGGTAACCGAGTAGGTTACCGCATTGCAAAGTTAAGCAATCCTAGCCAGGTCAGTCTATGGATTGGTAACTATTCTTAGCACATTAAGACCCCTCGACACCTTGGAAAGCACGTTAAGCGGTCGGTTTTGGTTGCCGTTCGAACATCTGTGGAAATCGTTACGGGCAGTTGGAGTCCTAAACAGCCCGACAACAGTCTCTTTACAGAACTTTGATATCGCCTAGTACTTGGATTGTGTAAGTCTGATAGCAGTCGCTCCGCGTAAAAATATGACAGAAGTACAAATAATATGACAAAAGGTACACAACTCTGGTATGTCTCAACGCGATAACATTAATTAATCGAATGATCTCCTCGCATGCTAAGACGTATTACAAGTCAAGTGGAAAATTACGTAAGCTGTATTTTCTTTGCTCAAATTATTTGATGGACACGGTTTATATAGTTTTTTTTAAATAAAAAATTGTATCTATACCTTGACCCTAACGAACGGTGTTGTGAAATAAAACTTAAATAGACATAAATTGTCAAGAAATAGTTAGCACGTTAATATTTTCCCAGACGTTAATATGAAAAATAAACGTTAAAGCGACAGCAAATTGCAAAGTAAATTAAGATCAAACCAAACATATTTAACTCGATGTTTCGACGAAGTTGATGGCACAAGTCTAATATAAAAGAATAAGATGAGGTAGTGAACTTCAACTTTATGACCCTATTTGACATATCAATATAAACACTGGACGCAAGCATTGACGAAAATAAAAATAAAGAAAGTTATTTAACAACGTTGGGTTGTGGAGGTCTGATGGCAGTCTCCACATAAAAAATCCCAATCCCAACCTAGTTTGGGAAAAGGCTCAGAGGAAGAAGTTTAACAAGGAAATAAGAAAATGACTATCCATTGAACCATGTCTGTCTATAGATGAAGTAACTGACCAAGAGTCTGTACCCGTAATCAGCGCGAAAACTGCCTTAATAAACAACACGATTCAATCGACTCAACGTTCAAGGACCAACCCTATCGAAAAGGCACGTTAGCATTCTTTTAGCATCACTTATCGGCAATAACCCTAAAGAGACCTTTGATAATTAACTCTGAATTACTTTTAGCGGGGTCGACGTCATGAAACTATTTCAGATAGGAGATCCCTTTGACGTTTTCCACTTTAGTACGACCCTCATAGATTTTATCTACAATCGTTACTTTCTTTATGTCTCTTTCAGATCTTGAACATATTCGTTTGTGTTATGTACATCATATTTTTTTATTTATGGAGTAGTTTTCAACATTAAAATTGTTTGATGGTCTGGTCTTAAATTTTTACACATTTACAGACTTTAATTGTAAGCAACAAAACAGACTGATAATAAAAAATCAAGCATGTTAGCCTATTGCCTGAATGCAGCTAAGCAGCAGTACCTAACCATATTTGTTGTTAAAAATGAAAAAAGTATAACTAATAAACTGCAGGTAGTTACTTCACTGATTGGCTAAAAAGACATGTATGTATAATTCAAGAAAGGAAATCAAATACTGAAAGTATTTTAGCTCCAAAGAATCCGATACTATATACTTTATATATTTATATATATATACAGGATGTAAGAGACATCGTAACAAATACTGAAATATTGTGTTCAAACCATCATGTCTCAATGCATCAATTTGCCGGAAAATTAAACGTTTTACGCACTCAGCTATCAAAGGTTAAGGTCATTCCCCGTAGGTATCGCACAAAATTAATAACTACATTTGTATTCCGTACAGTCTACGCACACTAACACAAGTTCGCGGCCAAAGAAGAGGTCCCGCGCGCTTCGGCTGATTAATTATATTGCATTTTTTTACCGAATACGGTAATTATTAAATTATTTTCGATAAGATGTTTTGTTAACTTATGGTAATATCATTGTTCATCATTTTAAACCAAAAAAAATGAAAATGATAAAACAATTTCGGAAGAAAAGTGCAATAATTTTCGACTCAGAATGATAGTCTGAATTTACTATTTCAGCATTCGTTACGACGTCCCTTACACACTCTATAATGCTATAAGGTGTAAACTAGCAGAATTAGGCGGTTTCGGGCTTCAATAACCTTACTTACTCTGAAATGCAACGAAATATTTGTTTAACACCGGTCTTTGAGGCCGTGGTAGCACTCCGATCGAGCTGGCCCATTTCTGACATACTCGTATATATAGAGATATTTCTGTCGAATTGTTTGACAACAGGAAGGAGAAGTCAAGTTTCTCACAATTGTTTTTATGATAATATAATCTTCTTGTCATTTTTAATTAGTTAGATAACGATCATGTATATAATCCGCCTGATTGTAAGTTTTACATTATTTATGACAGAAAATACACAATTGAAAAATATATTATCTATTCTCATGCAACAACGACAGGGAAGACACATAAGCCACTACATCTTTTTACCTCCAATAATTATTAATTAATAATAATAGTAATAACTTCACACATCACACATGGCTGTCTAATTCTAACTCATTTGGACCCAAATACAAACGGAATTTAAAATCATATAAAAATCTTTATTTATTAAATGACCCGAGGCTAACAAAGGGAATTTTATAAAAAATAATAATTGTAAGTAATAAAAATAACACTGTCCTTGTACAGGGACAATGGGCACAAGTCTCGTATTTTTCAAAGCAATTACGATTTTCGATGTACATGGTTACTATGCATTTTTTGCATTGCTATCGCACTTTATAGCAAACAACACATCGTGGTAGTCTGGGCAGTCTTTGAGAAAGTGTCCAACTCCATCAGTCAGGAACTATAAAAGATGGTTTTCGTCTACGATCTTGGTGCTCCTTTGATTTCAAGTAAAATCGCGTGACGGTTCTACGAAATTGAAGCTGATTAATTTTATCTTTATGGGTCAGAGTATGCAAACGCTAAACATTACTTATAGCTAAATCTATTATATAGGTAAACAATACCCACTACATTTCTTTGTCTCGAAGTGGGGTCCCGATCTGCGGTATACAAATTGGTCAAAATATTAATTACAATTTTGAAAAACGCATGGGATGTTGATTTCTACTTTCTTCTTCTATACACTTGTAACAACATTCAACAGTTATACGCTATCAAAGTTAGTGCCAATAGTACATACGCATTTATCAAGTCAGAGAACGAATCAAATTTTATTACCAGTATCAAACCGTTAATCGTAAACAGCTCTTCTTTGCTTTTTCTTATCTTTGACCGACATAATTGTCATTTTTTAGTTCTATTTTCTCTGACGGTTGCCATAGCACTATTTCCAGACTCACATCTTTTTTGTAGCAATCTGTATCAATAGTGGAATAATTATCAAAATATTCTATCTGCTCATTTGCATAAAGGTTACATTGCTAGGATGATGTATATTTTCACTTCTGCTAACACAATCATCAATTTAAACACTTTTGTCTAATTACTTGTCAATTTTAAAAGCGTGTTAAAAAGATACACTATTTACGAAAAGAAATGCAGATGCAAATAAATATATATACGATATACGAAAACCTGAGGGTAGTGAAGCAACTGTCTAAACTGTCTGGGCTAAACTAGGCAGAGCCTGTACTATGGTAACCAGACTGCTGATAAACATACTTATATACTTCTAAATACATACATATAACACAGAAAAACAGCGAAAGTTGTTTTGAGAGGCACTGTAAAACATTTTTTTTTTGTTGACGGGGTGGAAAATCCCTTCGGATCTCCGGCTCCTTTGAGGATGTAGGAGCCATGAGCCGGAGTATGTGGTGTTTCCACTAAAAATCACCCCAACGGCCGGACACAGGCGCCCTACTCCGAGGAGGACCGGGACCATGTTATTTTAGGTCCCCCCCAGATTGACGCCACGCCTAGTAAAGCCCTATCCCGTGAAAGCCGCGGGAATCCTCCGCCTATCGGCCCAAACCTTATAATATTCACATCAAAATGTAATCACATTCTGCCAGCTCAAATTTGCTTTTTACAACATACATACAAACATACACTCACTTCTTTATCCCCGAAGGGTTTTCCCTTCTGTCTATACAGAGGCGTATTAAACGCCAACGTAATAATAATACCATTTAGTGGGCGAGCTTTTTGCCAACAACATATACTTCTAAATAAATATACTTATAGATTTCTTAAATAAAATTGAATTTTTACAATTTGACTAACAAGCGAATGGTTGCCGCACTTTAATCTTAAATAGCTGTAATATATATTACTTACATAACCCAATACTACGAATACAACACATAAAACAGTAAAAAATTTAAAAATCATTTTAAGGAAAAATACAACTTGTCACAAAAGATGATCGCACTATGGCCTTAAAGGATATAGTCGCAACTACTTAAATATGTAAACATACTCACGGGTACAGTCGCGTACACAATATAAACGAGGATTTTGATGATTTCTTTACAAAATACAATAAATAACTAAAAAAAATTTTGGACTACATATTATACATTTTTACAATAATACTTATAAGGTGTTTTTTTTTAATCATTTCATATTAAGGGTGACAAAAGTTTCCGTTTAATCTGCTATATTTTGAGCCGTAAGGTACACGTTACCTGAGCACCGGTCTGCCTGGTGGCGCATGGTATCATTGAGAATACCATAGTATTTTCCAGTAGTTGAATTTCATGTATGTTGTGGAGATTTTCACATACAATGAAACAGAAACTTACCCAAAGACAAAAACCAAGCTACGGAGTAACTATTAATCGTGAATTGCGCAATAAAAGTTTTTTTACCAATTCCTATACATACAACCGTTGAGCCGCGATTCACTAGGCAAGATCACTTCGCCCGGTCGGATCCTCCCGTTGTGTCGGAGGAACACATAACCCGTACTTCCACAATGTAACAAGTAATAATTGTAACTTTTGCATTACTACGGAGGTTACAGGGCTATAAGACTAGTGCAGCGCTTTCGAATAGATATCTATTTCTATATATAGATATATTCTATCTATTTATGTAAACTTTTGTGTTTATATCCCTTGTCTACTTAAAAGTGATACTTCTAAAACGTTAAAATAATCTACTCATTCGTTCGTTCTCGTTCGTTCTTATTAGAGACAACATCCGCATTAGGATTGTATCCTGTGTCGCTGGAGACTTTGCAGACTTACATAAAATGGACACAAAGAACACTCAGGCTCAGAACAACAATTTGCACATCACACAAAATGTTATCCCATGTGGGGATGGAACCCATAACACTCAGCGCAGTAGGAATCGGTGAGGTGACCGCTTAAAATACTACGCCATCCGTGTAGTCAAAAAACTCTACTGAATCACTCCTATGTCATTATTAACCGACTTCAAAAACACAAAAGAGGAGGTTATCAATTCGTCTCTATTTTTTTTATATGTTTGTTTCGCGATATCAGTTTGATGATGGGATCCTAGAGAAAGCGAGGGAAACCCTCAAATTTTAAAGCCCGACAACGTGTTTTAGCTAATTTCTCTAGATTTATAGGTATTTGCGTTTTATTGCGATTTATAGGTTATGTCATGTTGCTGAGCTAGTGATGGAAGGGTCCTTGACCTTTAGGAGTTAGAGGATAACTCTTTCAAAAATCTAATCATGTATTGACCTTTTTTTATTTTTTCAAGATATATGTTATGTGTTTTTTGTTGGGTTAGAGAGATATGTGCACAGCAGAGTAATATATGACATAACAAAACTTTTAGACAAAAAAAAAAGTTTGTTACGCAATTATTTTCTTGTTAGTTACCTCAGAACTCTTTCTAAGGATAATTCTAAGGATATATTTTACCTTTAGTTCCATTCAAATAGGAAGAAAAAATACCACTCCTAGTTTTGGAAAATTAAGTAATGTGGAATACAATTTACTTTTCGGGGGTTCAAATATAACCTCTTACTTACCTAAATAAAATAACTTAACTTATGTATTAAACTATATTTAATATAATCTTACATACTATAATTTAGTATACATTACAGTATGTAGTGTTTTAAACATCGTACTTATCTACTCATTACAAACATATCTTAAAAATAAGTTGAACCGACTTCAAACAATACTGACAAAGAGCAACAACTACTTCATAAAGCATTCAAAATAATAATATCATTTTAGATGTGCGTAAGCCACTTTAGCTTATTCAGCATGTTTTGCGCCACATGAAGACTGTTGCAGTTGCCGCGCTTCATTCTACCAAACCTATGAAATGAAATTAAATGAAATGATATTTATTTCTGTAAGTAATTTTTTTCGTATATTTTTACAAGTCGGACTTTACAGCTAAATAGAGCATGCATTTCCTAACTCTCTGCACTCTGAGAAGAAACGCCGAAACAAACCACAGGTGTCTTTTTTTTAGTCCGTAAACAAAGTTAACGAAACCTGTGCGAGTACAGTGGAGGGTCTGGGTAGGCCTTTTAAAGAAAGGGCCATAGGTTTGAGTCGGCCTGTCTATACAGACGGTCTTAAGAGCCCCAGCTATCGTGTAGCCTAACCGATATTAGTCAAGATCAACGACCCGAAACGCGTTATCAAGCACCTATTTGGCTTGGCATCGACTTCAAACAGACTAGAAATGACTATTGCTATAATAATGTCACCTGTTATACTGAGGGTACTTATTTTAGTTTTTACTTAGATTTGTAATTATTTTTTAATTTTTATTGCTCTTTGACAGTATTGTTTGAAGTCGGTTCAAACTTTTTTTAAAGGATTTATGTATTCTTTATGTTGTATTGACTATGTTGCTGTGTTTATAACATGTTTATATTGAACAATAAGATACATACAATAAAACCGATCAGCAGTATTCCAACAAATTGTGATGTTTGTTTTTAACGAATTCACACGGAAATTTGACAAAACATTATTTGCATTGAAATGGATTTGGTTCATGTCATGTTTAATTTAGTGAATGTTATTTGACATTATGTGTTTTCATTTGATTGAGGTTTATCTTTAGGAGAGATTTTTAACAGTGATTTTATCCAGGAAAATGGGCAATAGTGGTTTTTTTTTATACCTACTGACAAAAATAACATAACCTCAGCCTGTGCTTGTCCACTGCTGGACATAGGCCTCTCCCAATGATTTCCAGCGGGGACGGTTGATTGCGGCCTGCATCCAACGGTTTCCGGCAACCTTTACCAGGTCGTCCGTCCATCGGGTAGGCGGTCGTCCCACACTGCGCTTTCCAGTACGTGGTCTCCATTGGAGAACCTTGCTGCCCCATAGGCCGTCAGTTCTCCTTTGGGCTATGTCGACCACCTTTGTTCTCCTGCGGATCTCCTCGTTGCGGATTCGATCACGCAGGGAAACGCCAAGCATAGCCCTTTCCATAGCACGCTGAGCGACTCTGAGCTTTCTGATTAGGCCCATAGTAAGAGACCACGTCTCAGTTCCGTAGGTCATCACTGGTAACACACACTGGTTGAAGCATTTCGTCTTTAGGCACTGAGGTATTTTGGACGTGAAGACGTTTCGTAATTTCCCGAACGCTGCCCAGCCGAGTCGGATTCGACGATTGACCTCTTTCTCGAAGTTGGACTTACCTAATTGGACCGTTTGTCCTAGGTAGACATATTCGTCAACAGCTTCGAGGACAGAGTTTCCCACGACTATGGGAGTCGGCGCGACATGGACATTCGACATGATTTTCGTCTTGTCCATGTTCATTTTAAGGCCGATCTGTTGAGAAACTCCATCAAGGTCAGCGAGCATTTGTCCCAGGTCTTCCAGCGATTCTGCCACGACTACGATGTCGTCGGCAAATCGAAGGTGAATGATGTATTCGCCATTGATGTTGATGCCAAGTTCTTTCCATTCCAGGAGCTTGAAGGCATCTTCCAGAGCAGCGGTAAACAGTTTTGGAGAAATAACGTCTCCCTGTCTTACCCCTCTCTGTAATGGAATTGCCTTCGTGTATTGGTCCTGTACTCGAACTGACATATTGACGTTATTATACAAACACTTCAATACCTCGATGTACCGATAGTCAATACGGCTCCGCTGGAGAGACCTACTGACAAATTTTACTGATAAATCACAATTCTTTTACTTTAAATTTAAGGAAGGGTGTTCTGTATTCAAAAAAATGGTTTGATTACGAATACATACATATATACATTACCAGGTTAAGACTTAAAAGAAAAGTTTGGAAAAGATCCACTACGAGACAGGATTAAGTCATTTTAATACGATGCCAGTGTGGTGACACTATATGAGTTGGATTGTTGGTTATTCCTCGTGGAGATACTTAACGTTAAGCAATATTGTACATATTACACATAGTCAACACTGTGTTATACTTGCAATTATCACTTACAATTAGCTACAGTCAAAAGCACATTTCCAAACTTAAGCGTTAACGACGGTGATGACGCATTGTAGTGCTAAATGTTTGACAAACGAATCCTGCTAAGGAACTCATAATTTATCATCATCAAAAGCCTCGAAGAGTCCACTGCTGGTCAGGAATGAGATTTTGACCTACTATACCATAAGGGGGTTGGCATAAGGCTTGTTTCAAGATTTCCTTCTCTTTGCAGTGCTATTGTCCTGCAGAGTTAGATCCCTTAGTCGGCTTTTACGACACCCACGGGATAAAAAGTTTATTAAATTTGACCCTTGACTTTTGAAAACAAATCCTAATTACAAGAAATATTGTTGTATGATGAGTAATTACGTACAATTACCCTAACATAAATATCGGCAAGTTTAACTAAAAAGTAGTGATAACAAAAGAAATGGTTAAAGTGACTTATTCCTTTCGAAGGAGGACGAAAGGAATCTCCCTTCGAATTTTCGTATCTAATCCTTAGCCCAATATTAAGAGCACATTTCCGCCACGCTTAGACTTTACCAAATAATAGATCCCAAATTTAATAATTTAAGCAAACTCTTTTAACACTTATTAAACGACTTAACAAATACCAATGTACGCGCAAGATCGGATTAGTAAAAAAAGTCGAAATACCCTCAAAGTTTCACGCTGGCACTAATTTTTGCACACTGTATTTAACTAATAAAAATTTGTTCGTAGAATCGATATCGTGTAAACATAACGAAGTTGCAATGTTGATGTATTTCTGCACATTGTTAAATTGTATGAACATTATATAAGTAGTTCTTGTTTTATCGGTATTACATTATTAACTGTATTTTTTTTCAGCATGTAGAAATAAAATAATAACAAAGTGTATTATTCATTAATAACAACGCATATTTATAATCATTGGCCTTCCACAACTATCAAGAATTATTTTTGAAATTATGCTATTAATTATAATTGTATTTATTTTAATTAACCAGATCTTTAGTTATGCACATCCAGTTCCTGCTAGTAATTTTTAAACGATTTTAATGAAGTAATTTTAAAATGAAACAGCTCGAATCTCAAAAAATAATTTTCGATTGAGTGCTATTTTCGATTAAGTGCTATTTCCGATTAAAAGCGACCGTGGATGAAGGATCTCGTAGTCGAATCTGCAACAATTGTTTCATTCAAGTGACCATTAAGAAAAGGTGTTTTCGACGAACCGTTTCGGATTTAAATGATAGTTGGTAAAATGTAGTTGCTAAGCACGCCTCTGCCGATATGCCTCGTATGATACAGGCCATCTTTTAGTCACATAAAGTCCACTGAATCAAAACGTCCTCAATATCAAAATGACCACTAAACCGTCAATTTATCAAAATGGCCCATTTATCAAAATGTCCTCTTACCAAATAGTAAACTTTGTCACAATATCCACTATAAAATAATGTCAAACGTGAAATAAAAATCATTTTTTTTTCCTCTTTTTAAGGTGGACATAAAGTAATGTGAAGCTTGTGATAGTATGGACTTTATAATATCGTGGACTTTATATGTGGACTTTGTGATATCGTGGACTTTATGATATGTAGACCTTATGATACCTTAGACCTTCTTATACCATGACTTTTTGATTCTGAAGACATTTTGATACAGTGTTCTCTTTGATTCAGTGCACTTTATGTGACCAAAGGGTGAGTATATGCATGTATGTTGAATGTGACATCTCATGAATATCGATTTAATATAAACTCAAAGCTCGAAGTTAATGTAAATAGAGTTATGCCTGTGATGATACAGCATTAATTGGCATAATAGACAAAGTGCTCCGTTCTAATTACACAAAAGGATCGAAATACTAAGATGGTTCCGATACCAATCAATCAATAGCTTCTAGCCCTAGATTTGAGGTTGCGGTTCTTATACATAGATACATTTATTGTATGTCTAAGTAGGTATCCGTTTAGTAATACTTGTAATATGTAATTAAATAAAACTTCAACAGTCGGCGATATCAAACCTATTCATACAGATAAGCTTTTTTTTATTGTAACATAACTACATAAAATTAAGAAAGCGTTCCCATGACGACCGAAGATTACAAAAGGGTTGTTCTGTAATCGGAACACCAGGGTGCCGATATTACTCCTTAGAGCTCTTAGTCCATATATCGGGGTTTTAAAAGTTCTCACAGCTAGGTAATATTTAAGGTTACTTTTAAATTAAATACATACGCATCGAACAGAGGACATCTTTAAAATGTCTGTTTAAAAGCATACAGATGTTGTAATATAAATAATGTAGGTTTTATAAATGACCGTTAAGCAAACATTCATCGTGACGTTTTAGAATTATTATAAATGATTCTTCTTTCAAAGTTCAATATCTCTTTGTCTTAAATCTTTCGGCTAGGTACTGGGTGATATTTAAAATATAATGGATAAGATGACTATCACTATCATAATGAAATATCGATTGTTTTGATATTTTGTAGGTCATCTTTTCTCATATTTAATCTAAGTAATGTTACTGATCTTTATTTCTCGAAATGTGCTAATTTTACGGTTAGAAGCCTAATATGTATTATGCAATTAGCAAAACTCTTTATTTACAGTAGTCGGATATGATGTGTGACCCGACAGCAACTCTAGCACTGCGCGCGCTTATGATCGGTATCCTGTTACATATTTCTGTCCCTTTTTACATAAGTACTCCTAGAGAATGAAAGAAAGCGAGACGAAAGATTTTACTCTTCAAAAACAGGAAAGAACAGTTTTCGATTTAGATTTTTGACGTAGCATTTATCGAAGAAGGCTACTTATAGGATATACATTTAATGTCTCATAGTAATTATGCGAAAATGAAAACCTATAATATAAACCTTGCAATCGCTAAGATCTGTTTTATATTGTCACAAGTTGATGAACAACAAAACAACAGTTTTTACGATAAAATCTCATAATCCGAGACTTTTAGTTACATTAGTTTAGTTAGTTTAGTTTTAGTTACTATAAAAAGAGTCATTCATCTTTATATATCTACGTTAACAAGCATTTTAGCTACACAATAGATTAACTTACTCAACATTCGTTGACGGTCTCTCTTACTTTATTTCTTATCTAATGTGTAAAGTTCAATAACAACAAATACTTTTATTTTACGATATGCTTTATATTTTAATCATTAGAATTATTCGTATACATGTAATGTCCTGTTATGACTCACAACAACAGAGTACTATTCGATTTTTCCTTTAGTAGACTTTGGATTGGTTTCAACATCAGGTATTGGATCAACTGCAGGTTTAACTTCTGCTTCAGCAGTAGTTTCTATTTTGGATGTAGTCGTTGATGGTATGAGTACGGAGTCTTCATCCAGCGGTTCCAGTGCTTCAAATTCAACCGTAATATCATTTCCATCTAGTGAAAAATTTTGATCGTCGTTTATAAAATTAGTGCCGTTGTCTGCATTTTTATACATTAACATCTGAAAAGAAATGTTCAATTGATAGTTTTGTGTAATTATACCATATCAAATTTAAGACTAAGAATTTAAAAAACAATAATGTTAGTAGGTGCACTAGTATATGGCAACACAATTTATGTCATTTTTTTTACATGTTGCAAATATTACCAAAACAACAACCAACTTTCATTTATTTTCTAAGTGTGAAAACCTTATAAGGTTTGCAATATTACGTTGCCGAGTTCTTAGGAAGTTCTTATCCAAACAATTGCTTCCATCCCTGATAGAATTTATTAAAAATAAAAAAAAACGTTGTTGAATCTCCTTGCAAAACAAGATAAAAATGAATGACGTTAAATCTTAATTATTATTATTTTTAACTCATAAATTTATTTCAATGTGTTGAAATCATACATCATGTAAGCACGTAGGTACTTAAATTTAATGAATTCATTATACCACATACAATGTAAATACATATATTTATAAATGTTAATTCTTCCACACGAAATCATTCATCAATTTATCATTAATATTATTGCCCTTGTTTTAATAAAGAGTAAGGACTAGTGATAACAGGCTTTAAAATCGAAACCTTCTAATAAAATACAAAACAGAAAAACACATAAATCGAAGAAAAGCCCAAAGCAGGAGCAGCTATACAAATTCAAATGAGAGGGACGTTAACACAGCCTGTTGTAAATTTGGCGTTTCATTACTAAGGCACTAGTTGACATTTATAAGTCTCTGGTATCAAAGGTGTTTTTAATTATTTCCGTACCTTGTATGCTAATGTTGTTTTTGATATATGAATAGTATTTGCAAGGAAATAAATTATTTTGGGGCCGGTTTTTTAATCCTCAGATAAACAGTCGAATAGCATTTATTATACAGTTAGCGTAATTTAATTTTAAAATTAAATAATTTAATTTTCCAGTGGTCAGATAGCTGTTATCTGAAAAAATAAAGCTTAGAATGTAAAAAAGTAATTCTTAAAAAGTAGTCTGTCACACTCAGGGATATTACACCTTTCTAACAGTGAAAGAATTTTCAAAATGGGATCAGTAGTACCGATTACCCCGAACATACAAAGTCAGAAAACTTTACATTTTTGTAAAATTAGTATAGGTAATTATAATCCTAATAAGCGGTAACTCAAGGATATTAAGTATTTCTTGATATAGCGTTTTTCATGAATTCTCAGTACCTAAAGATCAAAGCGTGCAGTTTACATATCACAGTTTATAGCTTTGTCTATAACTGGTCAGTGAGCGTCGAATACTAAAATAATTTGTAATGTATATGTGATTTTTTGTTTAAAAAAGTAAACAAGAAATTAAAATATAAATTAAAAGTTAAAAAAACCCCCGACACATATCTTGAATTTGCAATTTGTCATAGTGTGTACTGTATTCTACTAGTCAAACCCTTTCATTTAATACCCATAGTGATTGAGTTGTGAAAAAATATGTAACCCGCCATTTTGTGGCGGCGGCCATCTTGGACGATTTTCATCAGACATAGCTAATAATACTTCCGACTAATTCACCTTTCAAACAAAAAAAAACAAAATCAAAATTGGTTCATCCGTTCGGGACCTACGATGGCACAGACAGACCCACACACACATATTAAACTTATAACACCCGTCGTTTTTGCGTCGGGGGTTAAAACACTCTACCAATTTATATTAGTATGAGTTATTTTTATGATATAGGGGGCTAACGAGCAGATGTATCACAGTGATGGTAAGTGACTACCATCGCTCAAGGACGCGTGCAACTCAAGAGACACAGGTGTGCTGCCACCCTTTAAGTGCCCCCACCCCAGAATTAGGAGAGGGTTTTTTTTGGTAGGGTAGGACAACTTTTTCGTAAGGTCGTGAGATTATGGGAGGCTCATCCCATAACCTCACGACCCTACGAAAAAATTGTTTAAGACTGATTTTCCGTGAGGTCGTCATTTGACTACGACCGAGGTGGCCCATATGTGACGAAGTAATGAAATATATCTTCAGAAACTCAGAAACATGTTTACAAAGATTCCAGTAATTTAAACATATACTTGCCCTGACTAACTGATTCATCAGCGCAGCGCCCTAACCACTGTTGGGCTACAAACTTAAAATTTTTGCAGCTTATGCTTTTTATGTTGTAATTTTTACAAAATTTCGCCTAATTTCGCTCGAAGATCGTCATTTTCAAAGTTATCTAGTTGTTATAATAATTTACTAACATTAAATAACTTTTAGTTTTTCCCTTAATTGCTTGAAACTAAAATGATGACTACTGTCTAAAATGATTATTTAACTTATCCACATTTCACATTTTACCTGCTTTGTTATGAGGTTAATTTGATGATAATAATAATAATAAGTCTAATTTAATGTATTCCAATTGAAAAACAAACAATCATATTAAAAGTGGATATCTTCTTTTTTAACAACAAAGCCAATTAATAAATTAATAATTTTAATGATCCTCAAACAATACAATTTTATTACCAAGAAAATTTGGAACTTTTGTATTTATTTATGGTGTCTTACTCTGATAAAAATAATAATCGAATACGACTCGTATTTGTATATTGTAGTACAAAAGTCAAACTACGAGTGAACGCTTTGTGTGATTTGAAATATTCAACATAAATTCCTTTGTGTACGTTTAAAAACAAACAGACCTTCAGTTGGTAAGCAAATAATCAAACAGGTATGTTGGTTTTACGTCATGCATTATCTACAACAGTAGTAACGTTTACTTTAAATTTTGTACCAGAGGTTTAACGAAAATATACAAAACTAGCTGGGTTTTAAAACTAACTTTATTAACTTACTAGAAAAATCTACAGTTTAACTGTGACTGTTTTTTTAATTAACTGAATTTAAAGATTCTTTCACAAACCCATAACACGTGACGTGACTAATAGGTGTACGAGTATGTGAGTATAAAATAAAAATATTACGGCAAATTGAATTAAATTTTAACGTTGTTTGTTAGCCAGAGACACACACATTTGAAATGTGTTTTTAACCACACAGGGCTGGTGCAACTGGTCTACCAATTCGAAGATGATTTGTCGTAGTATCCTGTATATCCAAAACTACAACAAATCATGTCATCGTGTAAGAGCCGTTTAACATTAAAATAGTGTTTTCAAACCATCATTCTGAGTTGAAAATCATTGGAATTTTCTGCCGGAAAATTAAACGTTTTATACAATCAGCTGTCAAAAGTTAAGGTCATTCGCCGTAGGTGCCGCACAAAAGTAATAACTACATTTGTATTTCATACAAACAGTCTACGCACACTAACGCAAGTTGGTGGCCAGGGGAAGGCCGCCGCGTTGTGGCGGCGAGCGCGTTGCGAAGCGCGCTCGCTGCCAGGGAGCACAGGGAACATGGGGTTCCCACACGGGGCGGGGGTCGTCTACTCGTCTGTAGATGACCCGAGGTATGTCGGGGCACCAGGGCCTTCCTTTCTAGGGTATACCTGGTTCCCGGCTATTAGTACCCGGCGAAGGCGTGCGGTTTTAGTCGGTTCGAGTCCGACATGCCACCGACAGGTGGTATCCGAGGGGATTTCCGCACGGAAAAAAAAAAAAAAAAAAAAAAAAGGGGAAGGCCGCCGCGCGCTTCAGCTGTTTGATTAGTTTGATTGAGTGTTGGACCGTATGTGGTATTTATTAAATTGTTTACGGTAAAATGTTCTGTTTTCTCATTGTGATATCGTTTTTCATCATGTTTAACCAAAACAAATGGAAAATTAAAAAAATATTCATGAATATTTTGGCAGATAATTCCTTATACTCTGTAGTCTAACTGGACGCGTAGCTACAAACTTCCTTTTATTACACATCTTATAAGTCGATATCTTTGAGAATGTACACAAGTTAAAAAAAAAATTAAAAGAAAGAAGTGCTAGTTACTAGGATTCATTTATAAATCCCAAATGGCTGACTATAAAGTTACTATGTTGTATTGTGATAAAGAAAACATACGTAAACTAATTTATTTTAACACTAATTTACTCAGTTATTAAAAGAAATAGCATGCGATTCGAAATAAATAGGCCTTGACAAACGGACAGATACATCGAGAACGAGTGACCCAATAAAAAATAAAAAACATTATTTATTCACTATGATATTTTTCATTTTAAAATAGTAGAAAGCTAAAAGACATCAGTGTTTGTATGTACGCAATATATGTGTGTTAATAATAGCATGCAATACTTACAATGTAGTTGAAGAAACCGAAAAAACCATTAATTGCCGTCACCTTGACCTGATCTCTTCTATCTTCAGTTAAGTCTGACATGATTGGCAGCATGAAGTCATCGATGGCTAGACTCATGGCGTTTATGAAGCCGTTTATTTCATCCTCATATTGTCCATATAGTTCAGCTGATTGGGAATCATCTGGTGAAACTTCTGAGGAGTTGACAACATCTGCTGGACTAACAGTAGATGTCGCTGCGCCTGCATCTGGCCTTCCATGAGCCTGAAAATAAGCAAACAAAAATAGTGTGTGTTATGACTATTCCATTTTGTGAATAAAGTAATACTACCCAAGAATCAGACAGTATTTTTTGTTGTTATAGTGCTTCACAGTTGCACACATTTATGACTTTTACGAACCATGATTTCGAATCAAAGAGTTTTCTGGAAATTAAAAAAAATATTTAATTTTCAATAAAGTCCGTGTGGTGACGGATTAAGAATACGGAATGCCACCATTCCCCGTGTGTATCGTAAGAGCCGACTAAGGGAGCAAACTACGCAGGACAACAGCTCTGCAAAGAGAAGGAAAACTTGAAACAAACCCTATACCAACCCGTCGGGCCAGCGTGATGTAGTAGGCCAAAACCTCCTTTCTAAGGCGAGGCCTATGTCCAGCAGTGGACTGTTATCTTTTATAGGCTGTTGATGATGATGATGATAAAGAAAAAAAACCTGTTTCAATGGTGACTGTTACTTCATAGCCAAATACAAGATAACATTATTCAGAAATATGACGCCTAAATAAAACAATAGTCAACAGGCTTCACGTTACACCGGACAAGGCGCGGTCGTGCCTGACCCACAATCAAGCATAGCATGCATATTTTTGTTTGCACTGTTTTATATTACACCTGACTATCTCTGTCTAAGTCTTGGAATCGATAGCGAACTAACTGAGACGTTCGTTGAAATATGTTATCATAAAATAGTCCTATATCTATCTTATATTAAGTAATAGTTAGTAATTCAGATACTGTCCCATTCCTGTGTAGAATAGTTTTAGTTCTCAATGACTTAGTTATACGTACCTTTTAATGACTTGGAGTCAAGTAGTTGTACAGTTGCAATGTTCTAACCTGTTAAAGTCTATATAACGAACAGTATATCTAGCACCTATCTAATCCTTGTGGCCTACTTCGTACATAGGTAATGCACTCACTACACACACAGTAGTTAAATCAGCTGAAGTTTTCTAATATAATTGTAGCGCTGACATGGCGCATAACTGTTCATTATCAAAATTAAATTCCTACTTAAAACTAAAATTACTACATTAAATTGAATAACAATAAAAGGAATCTATCTTAATTGTTTTAAAATTCTGAACTTTTTGCTTTTGCTTAGATCAAAAAAGATATTTGTAAATATACAATTCGTTTAAATTTGATATTTTTTAATATTATATAATAACAGAAAAGGTAAAAAAATATTCATTTTCCAAGCATATTTTGATTTAATTGAAATATCTAATTTTAAAAATACAACTTTACAATATATAATCTATCACAGTTATTTATTAAATACGGTTTGGCGACACCCTATATGCGTTGATAATAGCAAACGAAACAATAGTTAAAATACTCACAAAGTAAAACGCAGAAATAAAAAGCAAAATGCTAAGGAACGACATCTTTAAGAACAACTGGGAGTAGAGCAAAAATCCGACAACATTTATATTGGATGCAGTTTATTTATTACCTCAGGTGAATCAGCATTGTCACGTCCAAAATTGATAAAACTTAAAACTGTAATACGCAAAAACATTAGTATGCCCATTATATGTAATAAGGTGAAACAATAAGAATTTATCTCAAGTACATTTGAAGACTATATGACTATTAGCTAAGACGATAATGTCCTGCTGTTCCTAGTAATATCTGTGTGTCTTTTCTCGCCCACTAAACTTAGTACTACACGTAAAGTTTACTGGTTAACGCTAATCATCATCATCATCATCATCATGATGATGATGATGATGATGATGATGATTAACGTTAATACATTGAGTAATGTATTAACGTTAACGCTAATACATTGAGTAATGTTCGATGCTAAAATGGAACCATTATTTGTATAATTGGCAAATATTTATGTGGGTGTATTTTCTGTTTTAAAATTATAAAATTATATAGATTTTAGAAAACATTTTAGTCATACAGTACTTTTTTTTTCTTAAATTCAGCGGAGAAAGACTCAATGTGCAAATGCAATACATGCGTTTACTTTTTTTAATTTTTTAATATGAAATAAACAAAAACTAAAATATAACTACCAATACAATTTCTTTTTCTTTTATAATAATATGTTCGGCATTACTATAAATTACTATGAATTTCCCTACATCACACTTACACTTTAGTAGTCATCTGCTTGACATAGGCTCACTATTGACGGGCCTGTTGGTCTAGTGGTTAGTGACTCTGACTGCTAAACCAGAGGTCGTGGGTTCGATTCCCAGCCAGAACAAATATGTATGTATGATGAGCACGATCGTTTGTTCTGTGTCTGGGTGTAAATTTATCTATAATTTGTATGTATTTAGAAATATATAAGTATGTTTATCAGCAGTCTGGTTACCATAGTACAGGCTCTGCCTAGTTTGGAATCAGACAGCCGTGTGTGAGATGTGTGAGGTTATTAATATTATTATTACTATTAAATTCAAATTCGAATGATAAAAAATATTAATAAGAGAAATTTGCATATGTAATCTTAAGTCTTTAAAGCAATATTTCTTCCAACCATTGCCTTGATTACCTTTCTTTTTAATATAGTCCTAATTTTCCTAAAGTAAACAATTGACTGCCTCGGTGTTGAGGTCTCGGGTTCGGGTTCGAGTAATGTTAGTATGATCTGCAAAAATTGGGTGTCTCTTTGCATAATATAAATATGTATTTACAAAAAGTATGTAAGTATAGTATCAGTCATATGTAGTCATACTTCATTTCACATTAACATTAATTAACTCGTTATTTGAACGATAATCGTACGACACAAACGTGACTCTGTAACATAACTGTACTGAGCAGCAGCGCGCGAGATGAGGCACACGTGATTATGATAAATATACTACAATACATCATTATTTGTCAGTTCCTTTGTTTGGTGTTCTTTTGTATTTATAATTAAAGTCGCTTGAAATTTTCTGTTGTATTTTCACATGTGTTCAGTTCTTTTGGTTAAATAGTTAACTATTTACATCTTATTACCATAATACATCGCACCGTTAGAATGAAAATTACATAACTCGACATGTCTGGTATTTGTAATGCTGCCTTTAAAAACCTACTTAAAACCCTTATACTCCTAAATTCTTTTTCTTTTATAATAATATGTTCGGCATTACTATAAATTACTATGAATTTCCCTACATCACACTTACACTTTAGTAGTCATCTTTTTTTTTTTTTATTAGGACTAATCCCACCCACACGCCCACCACTGTAACTCCTGTACACCAGGATCCACAGCAGTGACCCACGAACACACCGAGTTATGACACTCGGGAAGTCCCAGGAAGAAATTAAACTGTCTTGGAACCCGCAACGAAATTAATCAGAAGAAAATTGGAGGAGTTGGAAATACAGTAAATCCACTTCCCTCCTTAGCAAAGCGGGAGACAAAATGAAGTAAAATAGGCATACACCCTTTTAAACAGGGAAGCACCACGGCCACAAAATATTACGGGTCCTACGTGAGCTATATTTGATTTCTATAATATGTATGGCAGAATCGCCTAAACGCACGGAAATTCACCCTAGTTGACACAAGATCCCCATAGTATACCGCCCCAGATGTCACCTGCAAGCTATTCAGCATTATATTACGTTCATTATACCAAAGACTACATTCCCAGAGGATATGATGAGCAGTTTGTTCATAATGAGAGTTAGGTGTTGAGCATTGACACAATGGTGACTCGACTAATTTAAATGAATACAACTTGCTCTTAAAGTTACCATGACCCGTAAGAAATTGAGCGACACAGTGATCCACCTCAAGCCATGTCCTCGACAACCGTTCGCGAACTGATGGAAAAAATTGGTAAAGATGGCGCCCCTTGGATGATTCGTCCCAGCGTTGTTGCCATTCGTCTATGAGGTCATTATAGACATCGGACTGCTGTTGAAGCAATCTTGTAATTTTACCGCGATCCCGCGCGCCCAAGAAATCGCATTCCATGTTTTGTCTTGAATAGTACATGGCTGCACGTCTCTGCACCTCGAGATCGACCGGAAGCACACCCGCCAACACCGGCAAAGCCTCAGTGCTAACCGTCCTATATGCCTTGCACAAAAATATCAGTGCAAGTCGTTGGCCTTGTAACAGTTTGCGACGGACAGCGCCTACGGTCGCCCTATCGGCCCATACAGGTGCACCATAGCACATAGAACCTAAATAAGTAGCTCCGTATATGATCTTTAATGTATTAAATGATAGACCCCATGTCGCAGCTGATATCCTTGTCAATGCACAGAAACTCTTTTTAGACTTTTCATTAACTATTTTAATATGTTCGATAAATGAAAAGTTTCTTTCTAAAACTAATCCTAGATAACACACTGCGGTTTTATTTTTTACAGTAACATTGTTAAATCTAATGCTCGGCGGTGATTTGAGGTTACCTTTTAAAAGTAGCTGGAAGGTTTTGTTGGGTGCAAAAGTTAAGCAATTACGTTCACCCCATTGAGATATCAATTTCAAACATCTATTGGCTAATCTCTCAAGCCCCGCCCTAGTATCAGATTCCACCAGTAATAAGCCGTCATCAGCATACGCGTTCAGGGTACATCCGGATGGTATTTAGTAGTCATCTGCTTGACATAGGCTCACTATTGACGGGCCTGTTGGTCTAGTGGTTAGTGACTCTGACTGCTAAACCGGAGGTCGTGGGTTCGATTCCCAGCCAGAACAAATATGTATGTATGATGAGCACGATCATTTGTTCTGTGTCTGGGTGTAAATTTATCTATATTATGCATGTATTTAGAAATATTATAAGTATGTTTATCAGCAGTTTGGTTACCATAGTACAGGCTCTGCCTAGCTTGAAATCAGACAGCCGTATGTGAGATGTGTGAGGTTATTAATATTATTATTACTATTAAATTCAAATTCGAATGATAAAAAATATTAATAAGAGAAATTTGCATATGTAATCTTAAGTCTTTAAAGCAATATTTCTTCCAACCATTGCCTTGATTACCTTTCTTTTTAATATAGTCCTAATTTTCCTAAAGTGAACAATTGACTGCCTCGGTGTTGAGGTCTCGGGTTTGGGTTCGAGTAATGTTAGTATGATCTGCAAAAATTGCATAATATAAATATATATTTACAAAAAGTATGTAAGTATAGTATCAGTCATATGTAGTCATACTTCATTTCACATTAACATTAATTAACTCGTTATTTGAACGATAATCGTACGACACAAACGTGACTCTGTAACATAACTGTACTGAGCAGCAGCGCGCGAGATTGAGGCAACACGTGATTACGATAAATATACATACAATACATCATTATTTGTCAGTTCCTTTGTTTGGTGTTCTTTTGTATTTATAATTAAAGTCGCTTGAAATTTTTCTGTTGTATTTTCACATGTGTTCAGTTCTTTTGGTTAAATAGTTAACTATTTATATCTTATTACCATAATACATCGCACCGTTAGAATGAAAATTACATAACTCGACATTTCTGGTATTTGTAATACTGCCTTTAAAAGCCTACTTAAAAACACCGTGGGGATATAGAGTCCAAGTTAAGAATAAGATAGGGTCTTTATCATCGGTTATCTTCTTAAATAATATTCTAGAACATTCACATAACGCCATCTAGTCCCAAACTAAGCAGCGCTTGTACCATTGGTTCTAGAAAACTGATATAAACTCATAAATACTTTTTGTTTGTACATGCACATTATACATAGAAACACCCAGACCAAATTAAACACTAAATGTTCATGCTCACAAATGTTTGGCGTGAGCGGGAATCGAACCCGCCACCTTTTGGCATGTTTTATTCATCAATATTGACCATGCACTGTTCTTTTCAAAGGTTTTACTACCCATAAACTTTGCTGCTCTTCACAAATCGCATTTTGACTTAGGTCACTGTCGTTTTAGGCGTACAATATGATCTGCTTATAGAACATATGTTAACATACGTACGTATTTAGAAATATATAAGTATGTTTATCTACAGTCTAGTTACTATAGTACAGGCTCTGCTGATTTTGGGATCAGACGGCCGTGTGTGGGATGTTTTAGTTTATTATTATTATTATTTTACGCTTCTGATTCATTATTTTTAAAGTTCTTATTTTGCTGGTAAAAACAAACCTCATATTAAGGATTTTTTATACACGTGTGTATTTAGGTTACGAGAATTGTAAGGTGTACAAAATTTCCACTTAATCGGTTCAGTGGATCTAGAGCAAATTGACTGGAACAGATGGACAGAGGTATGAGTGATCGTATAAGGTTCCCGCTTATTCATTCGGATGTACCAGCCTAAAAAAATACTAGTCAACTTAATTGAAACAGGATGAAATAAAATAAATAAATACTAGATACGGAATCCGAAAGTTTTAAGGTAATCAAAATCCTTTTTATGTCGATGATAAACACTGGAGAAAACTCACAAACAAAGTCCTTGTGTATTTTATTTGATTACTAGCTGGTATCCGCGACTTCGCTCGCGTGGAATTTGAAAAGCGCTGCCTTAGTAGATTCGATTCCCAGACCGGGCAAAATTTTAAAGGAACAAAGCTAATA